TTTTTTTTTTTTTTTTTTTTAATACCAAGGAGACAGGGATGGTGGTACACAGCTATAATCCCACTACTGGGGAGACTGTGATTGAGGTTGGCAAGTTGAAGTCCAGACTGGATAGTGTAGTGAGACTGTTGGTCCAGTGCAGCTCTTGTACAGTGAGAGGATGGAGAAATAAAGATAGGAGACAGAAAGCTGAGGTCAGGTGGAGCCTTTTTCCAGCCCATCAGGAAGAGGAACCACTCAACCACCATAGCTCATTTAGCTGTACTTTCTGGAGGTGGATGTCAGTGTCAGCCTCCACCTAGCAACTTTGTATTGCTTGCCTGCGTACCTCCCATTCTAGATATGACATGGTTAGTACAGCAGAGGCTGGGGGTCTCCTTGGAGAAAGGCCCAGGGAGTGTGAGGTGGTCTTCAAATATAAGAGTTTCCTTCTTCACTAGAGTCCACCATGGAAAGAGGCCCTTTCTGTTAGCATTATGGGAAAACCCAAGGCCCACTCAGGCCTGTACTAGCCTGGCCTTGATGTGTGGACCTGGGTGTCAGGAAGAGGCTCAGAGTAGGCTGGGTGCCCATGTATAAGGGGGTTTGGTGTTATAGTCAGGGACTGCCCTCCATACTCACCTGTCCCTCTACACACTGCTGTCTTGCCATCTCTGTTGTATGACTTTCAGGCTCTGGATGGCCTACCTCTGCCTTGTTTCTCACTTTTCCTTTCTTTGTTCCTAGGCAAAGCAGTGTGCTAGTGACCATCTGTGTATGACTCAAGACATGCACAAATCTTTAACTTGTATTTGAATACCAGCTGATGCTTAATTAGTCCGTGAATACCAGCTACTATTTTACAGTCTTGCCAGAACTAAATTTCTGCCTCTTCACAGTGCTCAGTTGACATGAGCTACTGAGTCCCTGCTAAAACCCTCTGCAGAGGACTCTCAAGAGACCAGGGCTTCTTCCCTGCACTGCACCCCATTTATTTGTGTGGTACTAAGGATTGCATCCAGGGCCTTATTGAGCTATGTACCCAATCCTTTCTTATTTTGAGACATGATCTTGCTAGGTTGCCCAGGCTGGGCTCAAACTACACCACCATGCCTAGCTGTTTTTGTGTCCTCATCTCAATTCAGGTCATTCTTCCTCTGTGGTTGATACAGCCCACGTCTGCTGGCTCAGCATAGCCTCACCTTTCCAGGTGACCTCTCAGCAATTCCCAGGAGCCCTTGTAAGGAGGATGTAGGTACTTCCTTCCAGTCCAGTTCTAGTAACTGACTTCTTTGCTTTCAGGTTGCCTGTGTAGAGTGAACGATGAAGAATCTCCTCCCAGACAAGTGAAGAGTTGTGGAATCCATGTGGAGAGCAGGGTGACAACCAGGCCACTGCAGGCTGCCTCCAGCATGAAGCTCCTCTTAATGAGAGGAAGGTACATGGGAGCCCTGAGCACAAACCAGTCTCCTCCCCAGCCCCAGTCATGAACCACAGCAGGCCATCCACGCCACACAGAAGCCCTTCAAGTGTAGTAACTGTAGAGAAAGGTTCCTGAAGGCCTTTGCTCTCCTCAACCACCTGATAGCCCACCCTGAAGAGAGATATTTCCGATGCCCGATTCATGGAGGTGCCCCCTCCAAGAACTTGACCTGTTCTGATGACCAGAAGGACCCCTCTGAAGAAGATGCCCGTGTGTGTGGTGAGTGTGGGAAAGCTTTCAACTACGCATTCAGACCGAGGAAGCACCAAAAGATTCACATAGGCGTACGGGCTTTCCAGTGCAGCGAATGTGGGAAGACTTTCAGTCGAAAAGATGCCTTGGCGCTGCACGAGCGGACTCACACTGGAGAGCGGCCATATGAGTGCAGCAAGTGTGGTAAGGCCTTCAGTGTGCTGTCCACCCTCATTCGTCACCAGAAGGTCCACTTTGGAGAAAGGCCCTACGAGTGCAAGGAGTGCGGGAAGTTTTTCATATACAGTAAGAGTTTTGTTCTTCACCAGAGAGTCCACACGGGAGAGAGACCCTTTGTAAGTGAGCACTGTGGGAAAACCTACGTGACCCGCTCGGGCCCGTACCAACACTGGAAGGTCCACACTGGAGAGAGGCCATATGGGTACAGCCTGTGTGGGAAAACCTTCACCACCCGCTCCTACCGCAATCGGCACCAGCAGTTCCACACCAGGGAGAGGGCCTACACATGTGCTGAATGCATGAAAGCCTTTAAGCACAGTTCAACCCTCCACCAACACAGGAAAATCCACACTGCAGAGGTCTCGGGAAGTCAGCAGCAGCAGAAAAGCTATCAGCGGCTAACAGCTGGCTCAGTAGGAGAAACCCCATCTTAGAAAGGAGATGGGGCAAGCAGCCTTCGTGAGGGTTCCATCTGAAAGAGGCAAGGCCTCCTACATCCAGATGCCACGCTGCACTCCACCTGACCCTGGGTGGTTTCACGCATGCTACCAGACCCTGGGAGGTTCTCTGCATGCCACCTATATGGGGAACTTTGGGGGCCACACTGCATTCTCTGCCTGCCCAGATTACTGCCAGTCATGTCACTTGCAGCTCCTATGACAGAAGCCATCCCACCTCCAACACTAGGCAAGTCCCCACTGTGCTTGTCAGTCACCTGTGTCCACTGAACTGCCCCTATCCCCTTCATAGGAGTGAACTATGAGTGGCGGAGCCCATAACAGGCCTCCATGACTGGGGGAGGCATGGACAGGATCCCATGCTGCCCAAGAGGAGCGGAGCCATCCTCTGGGAAGCTTCCAGACCTTGCTTACCATTTTTTTTTTTTTGCTCCGAATGCCTTCAGGGCAGGTTTGGCTGGCTTGAGTTGTGGGGATCAAACCACAGCAACCTGAGCCTGACTGCTTTGTTGAAGCAGCCACTTAAAGAAGTGAGCTACGGGGCAGGCCCCCTTGCTTACCATTTTTGTGGACACTGTTGACCCCACTTGTCCTTGTCTGCCATGGTTGAGGCTACTTCCTGCTGTGTGGGAAATGTCATAAAAGCCCTTAAGTCTCATTTTGTAGTTGGGGTTCTGATTCTTGTGTGTATGTGTATAGGGGATTGGGATTGAATTAGGCTCTGTCACTGTTTAGAAGGAAGTTTTCCTCAGTTCCTGGGCTCTTACCCGTCTTGTTCGAGACAGCAGGATGACAGAGAACAGCTGTGGAGGAGACCAACCAATGCTGGGCCCTCTGTGGCTGTTCATCATGGTCCTGGGACTATGCACTTGTGGGATGTGGGTTCTATTACCCAGCCAGGGCTCCTCCCATCACACACCACTGGGCCTGGTTCCACTCACCTTTAGGTGTTCACTGCACTGCCTTTAGTTGGGGAAGGTGGGTGGGGTGAAGCCTGCTAATAAGAATCAGCCACAGGACCTGCTGCAGTGTGAGCACAGGGGCTTGTCACCCAAAGGTAAGATTTGTCAGCCGTCTTGTATTTGCTTTTTTTGGAGATAGGGCCTCATTGTGTGGCCCAAGATGGCCTCAAACTTTCAGTGATCCTCTCGTGTCAGACTACCCAGCACTGGGATTACAGGTGTGCACCCCCATGCCTGGTTTCAGTGGCTGGCATGGCATGCAGTACTGGGGATTGAACCTGGGTCCTTGACTTGCCAGCATGCCCTTAGACTGCCGAGCCATTTCCCTAGCCCACAGCTAGGCAATTTAGTGAAACCTAATCTAAAATAATAGGGCTGGAGACATAGTTCATGTTCTCTGGGTTCAATCTCTAATACTAAAAACTTTTTGGAGACAGGGTCTCACTATACAGTTCAGGCTGGTCTCGAACTTGCAATAATCCTGTCTCAGCCTCCTTGAGTGCAGGGATTACAGGTGTGAGCCACCACACCTGACCTTTAAAAAACAGCTCTTAACAAGCACCTAACCATAGTATTTAAAAAAAAAAAAAAAAAATTGTATTTACTTAGCATTCAGAATGTCAAAAGAGTTAACAACTTTTTTTTTTTTTTTCAATTACAGAGTGGTATTCAGTTAACAGAACAATTATTTGGTATAAACTGCATCAGAGACAACTGAAGATGAAAAACTACCGTCCCCATATGTAACTAACTTGTGCTGTGCACCAAGAACCTACTTTAAATTTCCATGGCAACTTACAACTCCCATACTGTAGCAGGCAAGGCTAGTGGCTACTGAAAATACCACCAGGACAGGGCTAGCTACATATTCAGTAGTGATAACTATACAAAAAGACACTGTACAGTTTAAAAACAAATCTTATGCAGCCTTACATTTCAATTTTTTTTTTTTTCTTCAAAAAGAATGAATTGTGTACAGGGGGAGTTAAATGCTTTATAGACACACAAAAAAAATGCACTAGAGCCAACTTACCCTCTTCATCCTCACGTTCCTCATCCTCCTCTTCTTTTTCTTGCTTTTTTCAGCCTTGACGACAGCCTTTTTTGCTGCATCAGGTTTTCCTTTAGCCCGGTAGGCAGCGATGTCCTTTTCATACTTCTCCTTCAGCCCAGCAGCCTTCTTCTCGTGTGGCTGCTTGTCATCTGCTGCAGTACTATTCCACATTTCTCAAGTTTCTTTGCAACATCACCAATGGACAGGCCAGGATGTTCTCCTTTGATTTTTGGGCAATACTCAGAACAGAACAAGAAGGCTAAAGGAGTCCTCTTGGGCGCATTAGGATCCTTGAACTTCTTTTTTGAACTTCTTTTTCATTCCTCCTTTAGGAGGCATATAAGTTTTCATTTCTCTTTCATAACGAGGCTTGTCCGCCTTTGCCATATCTCTATGGAGTTCAATGTAATGCCAGTATTTTTTTTTTTTTTTAAGTGTATTTGGTACCAGGTCTCACTATGCACCTGAGACTTGTAGTCGATCCTCCTGTTTTCAGCCTCCCCAGCGCTGGGATTACAGGTTTGCCACCCTGCCCGGACTCAGTGGCTGACTCTGTGTGCTCTGGGGGCAGGGCATATGGTGCCAGGGATTAAACCTGGGTCCCTGTGCTTGCCTAAGCAGATGCTTAGTCTGCTGAGCTATCTTGCCAGCCCATCAACCACAGTATTTCAGCAACAGAAAAACATCTTTTTTGGTACCAGGAAGCCAACTCAGGACCTCACACTTGCCAGGCAGGCACCATGCCTCTGAACTATATATCCTTGGCCCCAGAAAACACATTAAGGCAGCAAGCAAGAGACAGTCTTTTTTATTATTGAGACAAAAATTTTATTTAGGCCTCACACCACCAACAGAGCGGATCTGGACAAGATTCTCTGGCCTTCGCTCGTAATGTGTTTGCTATGATGAAAGCCAAGTAACAAAGATTTCCACACTCAGAAGCAAAATTAACCGTGCTAGGGGCCGGGGAGATGGCTCAGTGGAATAGGCCCGGGCAAGTGCAAGGACCTGAGTTCAGTCCCCAGTTCTGCCACGGAAACCAACCAAAAAAGAGCTAGGTCAATGTTTTGCTATTTTTATGCTAATCTTTATTATAAACACGAGTTTGTTTATTTGTTTTGGGGGCAGGGTCTTGCCATGCAGCCCAGGCTGGCCTTCTCGTAGCAGTCCTCCTGCCTTAGCCTCCCTAGTGCTAGCACCAAGGCTGTGCACATTCCCGGCTGTTCTTTTTTTTTTTAAATTTATTTATTTATTTATGTGTGTATGTGTGTGTGTGTGTGTGTGTGTGTGTGGCCAGCTCAGCCCACCAGGGGGCGCGGCTGGCTGGCATGTGGTGCTGGGGGATTGAACCCCGGTCCCTGTGCTTTGCTACGCTTGTTCTAAGTAGGTGCTTTAGACCACTGAGCCATCTCACCAGCCCTGGATGTTTCATTATATCAGCATATGAGTACAAATAAAATTTCCAAAACAAATAGCAAAGTATTGGAAACAAGTTTTATAAAGGGAGAAGGTAAGGATTGAAGGCAAGATAGTCCTTTTGATCTCACTTCCAGGTCCGTGCCTGGAAGTGGTCTATGAACTTTCTGGAACCAACCAATACTATATATAAATGATTTTACTTTGGTGGAAGCCAACTAATCTTTTTTTTTTTTTTTTTTTCCCCAGTATTAACAGTTGAACTCAGGGCCTTGTGCCATAACAGTCTGCCACTAAGATACACTTCTAGCCCTTTTTGAGACTGGGTATTGCTAACTTACAGTATGCTGTAACTCATCATCCTGCCTCAACCTCCTACTAAACGGTTGAGATTATAGGCGTGTACTGTCATGGCCAGTTTAAGGTTGGGTGCAAGTGTCCTGAAAGACAATTCTGCCTGACGTTGGACTTCTCCTGCACCCCTCCTCCCAGAAGCACCCGGAGCAGAGTCTCCTGGGTCCCAGAACAGTCCTACACCCCATCACACCCACAGATTAGTCCTGGACCCCACTGTTACTGAGTGCTTTTTTGTTTATGAGTCAGGGTCTCTCTACGTAGTGCAAACTTTGAACGTACTTAAGTGGCCTACGATGGCCTCAAACTCAAGAGGATCCTCCTGCCTCAGCCTTATCAGTGCTTGGACTATAGAGGTGTGCCACTGAGCCCGGCAGGTAATTCCTTCAGAAATGGCTCACCAGTTAAACTTATTCCAGGTCCTTCTTCATTCAAACCAACAATTGAACAAGGAAAGCCAAAAATGGTGTCAAAAATTTATTTTAAAACTGAGAAAAAAAAAAACAAACCTGAGAAGTGATGGGGTGTACTGGATTGTTAACAGTTGGCTAACTTACTACACCCAGCTGAACTGAACTAGCATGTGTTGTATGTTGTGGGTCAGCGCCGAAAGAAACGACAAGAAAACGTGATGAATATAGCTTCGGAGGTCTCCCTGAGATCAGTCTCTCTCCCAGTGAGCCCAGAGCCTCAGAAGCATCTCACATTTACTGAGGGCTCAAGGCAGGCTAAGGAAGGTGCATAATTAAGTGAACACAAAGTACTTTCTCTATTGACTTCCACCATTTGCCTCACACTAAGTTTACACAATTCTAACTGATAACATCCCAAGTGAGGGATCAAAGAACAGGGCGCCTGTAAGAGAAGCTGTTATTTGCAGGCTTGGGTCCCAGCTTTCCAGGAATTTGCAGACAGCAACTCTCCTCGGGCTGTCTATTGTTCCCTGCTCTCTTGGGACATCAGGCTTTTGTCTCAGATCTGTATTTCTACAAGCATGTGGAGGTCCACATAAGGGTTGTTGCCAGCAGCGTAAAGGACAGAACAGGAGACACTGTCAGTACACTGTTAGGGGTGCTGTTGGGAGAAACTGTTGGAGCTGTTGGAAGCTGCCAACTCTCTTGGGCTGTTCTACAGAGGCTTTTAGCCTCTCCAGCACGTGCGCCGCTACACCCAGACTCTGGCCGGCTCAGCCTACCCTAGAGGCAGGGCTGGCTGGCATGGCCTGTGGTGCCAAGGACCGAACCTAAGCAGGCACTTTAGTCTTCTGAGCTATCTTGCCAGCTCTCTATATTTTATTTATATTTATTTGGTACAGGGCCTTGCTACGCAGCTTAGACTTATAGTGGTTCTCCTGTGTCAGCCTCCCGAGTGCTGGGGTTATAGGTGGACACCTCTATGCCCAGTTTTAGTGACTAGAATGGCATGCCTGGGGTGGCTGGCATGTGGTACCAAGGTCCTTTCCCTTGCCACGGCCTGGGGCCACACCCAACGCATCCTCCTGCATCGTTCCCAGCTGGGGCCTTCAGCAGGGATCCCAGCCTGACTGGTGGCGGTGCCCGCTTCACTCAGGCCCAAGTTACCTGCCAGCGGCCCCTCCATGGGGACTGACAGCCAGTGATCTGGTTGGTAAGTCTTTCCTGAGTGTTCACCTTGCAAGGGGCAGTTCAAATGTGATCTGCCATGGCATGCGTCAGCCTGA